AATTACGCAAAATGATCCTCAACACGCAACATGGCGTCCAAATAACGCCAAAAATCGCAATTTTCCTTAGTAAACGTTTCTAACGTCAATGTTGTATCACTTGTATCAGAGAAAAAGTCTGCAGCCGCAAGTAAATATTGTATTTGAAGGATTAATACTTTTTTTTCTTGTTACTTTGACATCAATAATTTTGCTAGAGATTGTAAAATGTTACCATTCAGTTCTTTTTGTTCAATTTTAGGGCTAAACCAAAGAGATTTATACCTAAGACTTTTTTTAACATGTTACTGCTTTTGTAGCCTGAAAATGATATGTGATTTCAGTAATTCGTTCCACGCTGTTATGTTACCAAACATTAAGTCATCTTATTGAAGCTCTGCCCACCTCTGACCACGACATTATCAAAAACATGATGAAAATAATGCAAAATTCGGAAAAACAAAATATGCCAAAATATAACATCAAAATGTCGCACCTCTACCTATTGGATCGATGAAGTTAATGATTTAAAAAATGAGATTTATTCGCGAAACGTAAAACTAATACAGAGCATTAATTTGCCATTTGTCTTCTCGTGCAATTTATATCACAGGTCTTTTCTTCTAAATTAAACTACCGTCGAGCAGAGCGACATAAGATTTTAATCTTCATTACTCGTGCAAATATTCCTGTTTTTCAAAAGGCAAACATCGGAGGGAAAATAATTCACGGTAAACAATACGCTGGAAAATAATATTATCCATAGTCGGGGGGGGGGGGGAGACAGACGCGACTGGCGGGATACGGCCGGCGGAAACGAATTTTGATTAACGAGAGAGCTTTCGCAAATTCGGGCGCGCGTTCCGCGCGAAAGAACGCTCCAATTTGTCCGCGTAGTGAGCGCGAAATGAAATTAAGGCAGACGCGAATTTGATCAGCGGCGGCGGCGGTGGCCGGGGCCCGAAATCTCGGTGAAAACGCAGAGCTCGGACGAAACGCTCGGAGGGACGACGACTGATGACAGTTACCGCTGTGAGTTGATTCCCGGTTAAAAGATTTACGCCGCCTTGTGTAGCTTGCAAATCAAATATCCGACTCCGGCTTCACCAAAAGTACTTGCGCCCGCGAACGAAAAACCGAAGCGTCTATTTACTCTCTCGAGATGGCGCGGCATTTTTAAAATCCGCGTAAAAAAAAAGTCAAACAATTCTGCGTTTAACTTAAGGCGTCCGAAATGTAATGCGGTCGTATTTTATTTATCTACGGCAATCGCGATAATTGTATTTTCCCTCGGTAGAGACGTGCCAAGATGCGTCGCGGATTGCACTGCGATTTGTTGTTTCATATTTCATACTTTTTATTTTATTTAATGTCTTTTTATTATCGCATTTGCAAAAATTGAAGTTGTACCCAGTAACTGTGTGAACATAATTCAGCGAGTAATTAATTATGAAAGAAAGGGTCAGAGAGCCGCGTCGAAAGTGTCGCTTTTCCGGATTCGCGCATCGAAGAGAGTATCAACCTGGAACTTCGGAGAAGTTCCAATTATCGTCCACCGTGACACGTTCCAAATTGCATAAATTCACCGCCGACAACACATAATAAATCGCGCGTATTGTGTGTCGAGCGCGACGTTGCGTCTCACGTCATTTGAATTATTAACTCGCTACAGCGGTATGTATATCAATTACGCGATATTGACATTGTCGTTCCGCTATTCCGCGTCATTAGAGAGAGAGTGAGTGAGCGAGTGAGAGAAGACAATTATTGCGACCGAGTTGTCTAGGATCGATCGAGCATCGTGTATCTATCCAAGTATTCCCTGCATGAATATCAACGAAAGGCGATCGAGTCGAGCTTCGATTATGAATTAGAAGATTACATGGGGCTTTGACACGAATCAACTGTCGACGTGACGAGGTCAATTCTGTATCTTACACTATAGTGAAAATGCGAGTAGTTTTGTCTCTCTCTCTAGCCGTCCCCTTACATAGTAAAAAATAAAATGTTAATAGATTTCAATGATGACTTGACCATGTCTGGCAATTTTTATGTTTAAAACTCACAACGTTTCGACCATGGTTTGTGTCCTTTTCAAGTGATCCAATGGTACAAGCACAAAAAAATTTGTACCCTTAGATCACTTGAAAAGGACCACAAACCATGGTCGAAACGTTGTGAGTTTTAAACATAAAAATTGCCACATGTGATCAAGTTATCACTGAAGTCTTTTAATTACTACTGGCGACATTGAAGATTACCCCTTGTTAGTTTAAAATGTTAACGTCAACCAAATTGAATGAAGCTTATTGTCGCCAGTGGTAATTAAAGCAAAGGGAAAATTTTTTAAAAAGTCGACCAGACTGGCAAAAAAGTGATGTGGCAGCAAATTCATAATGTCATATCTGAAATTATTACGGATAAAGTTAAATAAATGAATAGATAAATAGTAAGGTAATAAGTCAGAAAAATAATTTAATTTAGTTAAATAATTTAATTAAATAATTTAATTAAATAATTTAAACTAAATAATTTAAATTAAATAATTTAATTAAATAAGTTAAGCGTAAGAGTCCAAAAAGTAGATAAAAGTAAGATATTTTTTTGTAAATTTTCTCTTTGTTAATGCTAACATTTTTCAACCGTAGGTGTGATGCAATAAAAACGGACAGGCTAAATAAATTGTACGAATAGTTACAAATTAGAATACTTGAAATAATTTTTAAGCAATGTCGATGTTACATGTTTCGGTTGACTTCGTGAAAAAAGTGCGTTAAAAGAACTCGAAATGATATTCAATGTTCAAACGACATGCATAAAGTGGCAGGTTATTATGTTAACATAAATATAACACACAAAAATATTACGAAAATAACCACATATATGTTTTATGTTAATTTTACATTGAAATAATAATGAAATCTTGGTAACGCGAGAAAATTTGAACGTTTCACCACATGAATTTTTACTGTGTAGAAAGAGACGAAGCTGAACACTTTTAGCATTTTCACTATGTTGCAAGATACAAAATTTTGACCCCGAGGCGATTACAGCCGAAGTAATCGGACGTCTCGCTTTTCACGCGCCGACATCAATTGCCAGGGCGTTCTTTAATTTATACGATCGAATGAAACTATCGTTTTCAACAATGATTGTTTCCAACGGAGGGCGCAACGTCGCGCCGCAGAAAGCATCCGAGCCTATATCGAGCGTCCCGCTTTCGCAATTTAAAAATCCGGTTGCACTTTAATTGCATTCCAGTGCGAAATATTAGCAACAAAGCGAGCAGCAATAAAATCGCGCGATGGCACACGCCCGCACAGTCGCGTCCGTTCGGGGGGGGGGGGGGAGAAAAAAGGAATGTCATTCGCACTCCACTCCAAATATCGACACGTCGATACTCGAGACAGATTGAAACACTCTTTTTAAACGCTGCCGAGAGCTCGAGTCCACCAGAGGTAAACTAATAAATCGCACAAACCGTCCCTGGGAGCTGCAGGTCCATTCGCCGGCTACGCGAATGCGGATTAATAGTGATGAGACGCGGCAGTGTATCAATTACGCTGTCGTTATAACGTCCTCAAGCCGATGTCAATGTCGCGCGAGCTAATTAACGAATGTCCACGTTAGCAGGCTGTTACCGTCGAAAATCGAGATCGACCGGATTGTACTACTCGGTGATAGATCATTTCGAAAGATTCTGATTAACGACCCGTCCCGTCGATTGCGCCCAGACAGAAGTTTGTTTGAAATCGAACAAATCTGAATTTTGACCTTGCTAGGCTTTTATTTCATTTCAAACAAGCGATTACTTTAACCAAAATTTTATTCCATCGAGATGGAAATTTCTACGAGAATTCTACGTCAATTTCTTCAAATCTAGCAAGCGCTTCAGTAGAAGTAAATAAAAATTTAGTAGATTCAAAGCAACGTGCATTCAACGAATCTCATTTGTTGAATCTAAAGCTTTTTTCTGGGTGTGCAGATAAAAATTCTGTCCGACTGATCTCTTGTCTTTCACGGTAAACAGCCACAAATTAACAAGCGAACAATCGATGACAATTATTTATCCCTGAAAAATTCTGTCTTTTATTTAGTTTCAACCTGATTAATTTAAAACAAATTGAATTATCAGGAAGCACATCTCGGAATCTACTGTTTCCTGTGCCTAGATAATATATTGGCGCGATATGAAAGTCAGAGCGTAATAAATACAACAAAAAATAATAAGGAATAATGTAAATAGTCGCAGATGTAATATATATTTCATATTGCATACCTACGTACAGTACCCTCCATAAGTTTGGAAACGCCCTATATTTTACAGATAAATAGTGGCACAGCAGCGAGCTGTGCACATATTTGGTCTAAATATATCACAAGTCGTTTAAATAACGATAAAATTGCGATACGTTTAAATAACGAATTAGACAGGAGGATTCGCATAGAGCGAATTACGAGTGAAGTGCATCTCTGGGAGACTCTCCAGCAAGAATGGAAACGTATCCCGACTGAATCTCTGCGAAAGTTAATCTATCGCACGCCCCGTGTATGCAAGGCAGTCATTAAAGCAAAAGGTGGTTACTTTGAGGAATCTAATATTTAATTTAAATCTTTGGTAAGAACTTGTCGTATGTATCCTCGTTTCAGTTTTCTTCGGTCAAATAAACACGAAGCAATACGCATCGATTTCATTATACGTTTCTTTCATATGACGCACTTTTATTACATAAGTGTTTCCCCAACTTGTGGAGGCTACTGTACACGCATAAAATGGTTTAAGTTTACGTTAAATTGACATCGAGTTAATTTAAAAAATTATTTTTATTCGCTCGAATACAAGGAACCTGCGGCAACTCGTTTCACAATTAATTATTGCTTTTACCAAGGCTCTTCGGTAATGCTTCCGGCTGTACTAGATATTTTATGAAAGGCAGCATTAACCTACACGCCCCAGCATATTGCTATTTGTGGCACGTTTCTGATAAAACTCACGACGGTATCGCGTTTCTCTGTTGCAGGTTATCCTGGTGCCTCACAGTCACACCGATCCGGGATGGCTGAAGACGTTCGAGCAGTACTTCCACAGCTCCACGAGGAGCATCCTAAATAACATGGTCTCGAAGCTGCAGCAGTGGCCGAACATGACCTTTATCTGGAGCGAGGTTTCGTTCTTATCACTATGGTGGGACAGGTGAGTGCATTCTACGATGCATACGCGATCAAGCGTTTTGCAATATTTGCGAATAAAAGAGAGGAAGGAAGCGCTTCGAGTACCCCGTGTCAAAAAATGTGTATCGAGGAATATTCTTCAACCTGTAATATATTTATGCAAAACGACGTACAGACTTCGCCCTTTTTACGTTTAAATTGAAAAATGCTGAAGGCCGGTGCGATAAATAATAATACGGAGTCAATATAATAAATGGCTGAGTATATACGAATTGCAGAAGGAGTAACGTAAAGAATAAGTTGGAGAGTTCTACGGAACAATCGCGGGTAAAAATTGAACAAGACCTTCGAAGCGACGCCCCGCGAATTTCCGATAAAGCAACGGGGCGGATTGTTATTCTCGGAATTCGCGAGGTATAATTAATATCGTTTTCCCGATCTAATTCTCTTAGGGGGATGATTCATTAATGCGAATGTTGGCTTCCGCATTTGTAATTAAAGACAAACACCGGTTAGTGCATTCGTGTTTTAAGTAAACGATGAGTTTTCTCGTAATCTCGCGAGCTTTTCTCGAAATTGTAAAATGTGGGTCGATGGAAAAGAGAGCGTCGTATAAACGGCGTTGAGAACTAACAGCCTCGCGTAATTGTATGTACATTCGGCGGGACCAGCATTCATTGCCGGTGTACGTGACGTAGGCTACAAATTTACGGTGAACGACAGCGAACGTCAGAACGCGGCTACGTACTGTATCCTCGAAATTCGAGCCTGCGACTCGCGCGATTGACGAGGCCTCTTATCGACGTTGCCCTACGCTTTTTGAGAACACGAACGCTCCGGAGCGGTCATTGGCTTCTGTGTTTCTAATTAAAGACAAACGTTCCGCACGTCAGTATGTTAAGTAAACCGCAGGGTTCTCGCACGCAAGCCATCTATCTCGGAAATGGATTGTTGTAAAATAGGCCGAGCGGGGAGGGTGCGATAGTATCGGGGACTGGATGGTGGTGATTCCCGAACCACTTGGTGCTTGAAAGAACGGAGCGGAAACTCGAGAACAACGGCGGGTGGCGGTTCTCCTCTTCTTAACGAGCCGTGGAAAAGCCGTGGATGAAGTAGGGATGAAGAAGACGCGGAAGTGTCACGAGTGGATTTCGAGAAAGAGAAAGAGAGAGAGAGAGAGGGGGGGGGATAAAATGATAAGTTTCGGATGAGTTTTACTGGGGAGCTCGCTTTCATTACTCTCCGCCAGTTGTTAGAGACAAAATGAGATCCCGCAGGTTTGCTTAAAAGTAATTTTTATTCGAAGATTTAGTCACCCCGCGGATCGATACGGTTTTATTGAATCACTAGGGAGAAACGGCAATGGGGATTGTCAAATACGGCCCGAGCTGAAGGAGCAGTCATTCCTCGTGAAAAAAAACGAGGTGGTTATACAACCGATAAAAACTTTTAAGATAGAAAATGTAGCTTTCTTTTAAATAAATTTAGCAAAATTTTGTGCGTTTTATCAAATTTTTAGAAAAAAAAAGGAGACGGCAGTTCAGTATAATCGCGTTTATTTTGTATTTTATTTCAAAATATTCGTTGTTAAAATATTGCGCAGACCAATCAGGCCGATTGCGCCGACATGCACCGAAGCCCTGAGAACGTAAAACGCCAGGAAATTGTATCAGCATCCGGCGTGTATAAAAAAATTTATTACATCGGTAGCGGTGCAGTTTAAACAGACCCACATCGAGGAAAGCTCATCCTCAAAACGCCCCAGTTTGGCCTGGGCGTAACCACCTTAGCTTTAGCGACCTTAAACCAACCTACTAGCCACCTGGGAAAACAGAGAGAGAGAGAGAGAGAGAGAGAGAGAGAGAGAGAGAGAGAGAGAGAGAGAGAGAGAGAGACATATATAGCAGGTGGAATCCGTGGCGGCTTTATGGCCGACATAAACGACGTAATGTGGAAACCACCTTCGAATAGAGAAGGATATGTAGGTCGTACATAACACTCGGACGCACAAATCACGTAAATCCTAACTGGCTGAAATGCGACGGCGGCAGCGATAAATATGATTTGCAACCCGAATTGCGTGATAGCCGGTATAAAACAAACACGAGTCAGGGCGAGTCACGCGAGAATGATTAAATCCGACATTGATCCAAAGTCGAACCGGGACTGATCATTTACGGCGGGGAACGATTATTTGCGCGCAACACGAATCAACTTCCATCTATATTTCTCGAACGTAGATCGTAAAATCGATTCTTTCGAGCCAGAACTCAAGCGTAATATTCAGTAGTCTAATACTTTCTTCAATTTTATATTAAACAGCAAACTGCTACCTTTCTTTCTGATATTCTACTTTTTTCTATTAATTGCATCTAAGTCCTCAAGACTTGAACGTCTCTCTGCGTGCAGTCTTTGGAAGATTCGATTCTATTTTTTGAAATTTACATTTATTTATTTTCGCGCATTGTGAGTTCCATTTTCGTTTTCCAGCGCTCATCCGACGAAGAAAGTGGTCATAAAAAGATTAGTCAAGGACGGTCGACTGGAAATGACCACCGGAGGCTGGGTCATGACTGACGAAGCTACTTCTCACATCTACGCTATGCTGGATCAGCTCATTGAGGGTAAGTGAGAGAAACGACATTCGAAATATTTGCTGTAAAGTTTCATATTCAGATCGTTAAATTGACAATTGTGAGGAGAGAGAAAGCGGATCGATGTAAAGATGAAACTTTGCATAAAATAATGTCAGTTTGTATATTAAAATGTACTGAATTTATTTTTCAATGACTTTAAAATATAATACGTAAAAATAATTTAAATAAATGGCAGATCTGAAGATCCTTTTGAAGTTACGAAACTTGCAAATAAATGTCTCTATCGCAAGCTCAGGTTTATCGTAATAATTAAAAAAGAGAAACGTAATAATAAGAATAAGAGGGTAAACTAAACCGATGTAGTTCGAAAATCGCGTTAGACCGTGGAAAATCAAGAGGCGCGTTGAGCGAACATAAAATTTTAGTATCAATTTTATGCCGTACAATAAAAAAAATAACAAATGTAACATTAAGATCTTAACCCGATCGCCACGACGCGGGCGCGTAAAATGTAAAAGTCCCGCTGAACTCCGAACCGCGATGAAAAAAGAGGACTCCATAAAAAACGCGAACGGAAACGCGAAGGATCCAACATGACGAGGAAGGATATTCTTTTCCTTCCGCCGCTATAAAAATCAGCCGGCGCTTTAAAACACTCTATCGACAACCAAAAGGACGTCGGAATTCCGGCGACCGGTAGATAGCTAGGTAGGATATCCCTGTCGTTTGCTAGCCAAGTGTCGGTCGGCAGGAAGCAATAAGAATCTCCAACCGATGCAGTGCGCGAACGGGAGAAGATTCGAGTGGATGGAAAGGATTTCTCGGTCCTGCCGCGCGGCAGGACTACGACAGGGAGGAGGCGGGGGAGAGTAATAAGGCGGCGGGTGCAAGCGGGTTTCTCAACGGAAAATTGCTCTCCGCCACGTCGTCGTCGTCGTCGTCTCCTTCGTTCTCTCGGAGCCGTCTGATTACGACCTCCTCCTCCTACTCCTCTTTCTCGCAATGAAGGAAAACGGATCCTTCTCGCTCTCACTCGGTTTAATGTTACCGCGAAAGATTTTACCGCCCTCGTGGAAATTTCAGTCGGCGTTGATTACCTTTCCACAGAGCTCGCTCTCGTGTGCTGTATCGCCAGGATATCACGACGCAGAACGGCCCGCCCTCGTACGAGGGGAAGGGACGGTAATAACTATTATCGTACGTATGTCGCATAGCTGCGGCGGGATTAGTCCTAATGTTTGCTGGGGAGTAGCACGTGTGCCCGTTCCCCGAATATATGTAACGCAGCCGGGTCAGGCGTACCGTGACCTGGCGCAACATGGAATACGATGGTAGTCTCGAGAAGTTCAACGTCGGAAACTTGATATGAGGAAAGGCTGTAAGAGGCGTCGCGGAAAGAGCAGCTCGGATGGAATTACTTTCGGTGCGATTATTAAAAAGCGAGTCGAGCGAAAAGAAGACTCGTTAATTCAATTCCGTAGCTCTCAATTATAATTGATATTCGACGCTGGCGCTAATTAACTCGTCTGTATCCGAGGCAGATCGTGCGTGACACATAAGTGACTGCGAATCCTTTTAACATGGTTGTGGAAAATCTTTTTCGAAAGAAGAAAGGATCGTTTTCTAACGTTATGATTGTAACGTACACAAAAATTTGCAATAATTGGAGCACTGTTGGAACTGCATATTCCTGAGACCAAATCAAGTAAAAAAAGTCCCGTACTGCTTTTCCCTGCGACAAGATATTCGCGTGGATCATTTAAAACGAGACACCCTGTATAATACAAACATATATGATAAACGTTGGAACATTTCGTGCAATTTTACGGAGCGAATATGGTCCACCTCGGCAACGTGGCCACCGGCATTTAATTGTCACTCTTTCGGCATCAGATCCCGACACGTTACGGGGAAACAAATATCGTCGCCGCACATGCCTCCCGCCTGCGAACGGATCTGGACCGCGTCGCGCCGCGCCGCGCCGCGCGCGTGTACGCGACATAGGACACGGCGGGCGACACGAAATTTCCGCGAGCAACGTACGATCATTAACAGCGGATGAAGGGGCGCAGCAACAAAACGTACAGCATGTTATGAGCTGTCGCCGCGTGGTTTCCGCGCGCCCGAAACGCGTGCACAAGTGAGAGGGCGAGGGAGGACGAGGGTCCTCGAGTGCGCGCGCGCGCGCGCCCGGCACTCGCCCGCACTCACCCGAATAATGCATCCGCTCGCTCTTGTGTCCGCGCGTCCACACGAAATAATTGTCGCCGTGCGGATCTAACAGCTTGTTTTTGCACGGCCGGAGGTGTATTCATCGCCCCGGCGCGCAAAAACCGAATCTCCATTGTGCTCGCGCGGCGCGCACGCAACGACGGCGGTCCTCTTTTCCGCGCGCGCTAATATATCCGGCCTTTGTGCGCGGCCGTCCTCCCCCGCTGCTAATAGAACCTCCTCCTCGCGTAACGAGGAACGCGAACGTTTTCCTTTTGTCCTTCGTATCAGGCGCGTGGCCGGACGCGATTTTTTTCGCGCGGCGAGTGCGCGCGCGCTTCCCTTCGCTTCGGCCCTTGAGGAATCCGGGATGCGTTGTCTTCGAGACACTGTCCACCTGTTCGCTCGTATTTTCGCAAAGGGTGTACCCTGCGAACATCGCGGCGCAATGAAATGAGCACGGCAATGAACAGAATGGTCGTAACGCTTTTCTTTTATTTTTTTTCCAACTGTTTTTTGATTATTTTAGAAACGCGCGTTCAAGCCAACGGCACACGATTACTATTTTTCCTACTGGATCGCTTGCGAGAGACAATCAGCATTTAAGCCAACGGCACACGATACTACTTTTCCTACTGGATTACTTGCGAGAGCCAATCGGGATTTAGCCTTAGGTTACCTGGTCTAAAACTCTGCGTCCCGATTGGCTCTCGTAGGCAATCCAGTGGGGAAAAAGTGAGCCAACGACACACGATACTATTTTTTTACTATTGGGTTGCTCGCGAGAGCCAATCAGGACTCAGCTTTAAGTTACCTGATCTGAAACTCTGCATCCTTATTGACTACGTTTCCACCGAGGGTCAGAGTCGGGCTAGAGTCGGGTCAGAATCGGGTTGGGGTGAGCGTTTTTGCGGTGGAAACACCAAACTGGGTCAGAATCGGGTTGGGGTTAGGTGTTTCCACCGCAAAAACGCTCACCCCAACCCGATTCTG